GATACATTCATATACCACACTTTGGGAAAATGCTAAAGTATGTTTATATTAATAATAACGTTTGATGTATCTTTTTAAAAAAAATATTTCACTCTTTCGCATCTATAAGTACAATATAATATGAGTATCGTCACGCAAATCAAGTTTCCGACTGAAAGTTGAGGTTTATATATATTGTTAAATTTATATTTAATATACATTATTTTCTCCAGCTAGAAATCCTTATTTGGACTCTACTAAGATTGATAAGTACTGTAGACATAAAGCCAAAATAGGGATTTGTACCTTGAGAAAATAAAGTAGACACTATTTCCAGCCTTGTTTGTTTACCTTTTTTAGAGTCCCTCGTTGTAGAGTGAAAATACAATCTTTGCATTTCAACTCAACTTGTTTCTATATTTCTTTAAGGATCTTTATTTCCCCTTTTTAAAATCAAAAATGTTTACTAATCTTGAACTCTTTATAGGTTTCATACACTTACACTTAGAATACATAAGTTAAGACGTGAAGGTGGAGAGAAGAAAGAAAGAAACGTATTTGGTATTTTCAATCTGAACTGGGTCTGATGTGACACATAAGCTAGGTAACCAGAAGTTTTTGTTTTGTTTGAAGCTAAACACACAAAGCAACACAATGGGCTATCTGATCTCTGCTCACCACGGGCATGGAAACCCGGATTCTAGCGTTGTAAGCCCACAGACATACAGCTGTATCACTGAGGGGCAAGCAGCCAGGAGATACCATAAATAAGCGACATAGCTTTTCTTAATTTTGAAATCTTATCAGACGGAGGGATATCAGTCAGTAGAATTCGATGTCTACATGTTTACCCGAATAGCAGGATTGACTGTAACATTTATAACTTACACACAGATGAAAGAGTAGCACATTTTCAGTAGCATATATCTGACTCTAACCTTGGATCAATCCGACAAGTTAACCACCAGAATATGCCTGGTCTGAGCGAAATGAAAGCATAAACTGCAGAAGAGATGAAGTTGAAATTAATAAAGTAACTAAAAGTTACGATTCCTTAGATAAGTAAAGTGTCAGTTTCAGATAAGATATTAATAACAAATTGATTACAAAGTTCACATTATATAACACTGAAACAAACAAAAGAGAAAAATAGAACTAAGTAGAAACCCGTCTACGCACCAAACTTTCCATTTTAATCCTTTCTTTTTATCACAATACCTCAAACACAGCTTGGGTTCATAATCACTGTTTCTGACACACTAGAAAAAAAGCACCTCACAAGATTATAAAAGAGAGATGAGAGAGAGAGAGAGGGGACACTTGTTATCACCTTAAATGCCTGACATATAAAAAGTGCTAATTATCAATCACGAATGAAGATTCTTATCGTAAAATAACAATGACGATTAAATTCAGCCTATGAAATCAGGGTAAAAATGCATACACGCGTATACCACCGCCATGTGGCGCAACTTTAAAAAAGGTAGAGGAAAAACTAAAAATAGTAGCGTAAGGTTAGATTGAATAGTGTAACGGTTACAGTTTGGTTTGTTGTGAATTTTGCACTAAGCTACACGAGGGATATCTGCACTAGCCGTGCCTAAATTAGCAGTGAAAGATTAGAGGGAAGGCAGCTAGTCATCCCCACCCAGTGCCAACTCTTGGGCTACTATTTTACCAACGAATAGTTGGATTGACCGTCTCATTATAACGCCCCCACGGCTGAAAAGACGAGCATGTTTGGTGGGGATTCGAACCCGCAACTCTCAGATTGCGAGTCAAGTGCCCTAACCATTAATATAATACAATGGTTATGCATTTAAGATATAAGAATCTTAGTATTTCTTGTATTCATAATTATTTAGCATATTTCAAGTTTATTGAGGTTGATGCTGTTAAGTTTAGCAGTTAACGCATTTATAAACTTTCACCATTTCATGTGGACAGTACCTTTTTTGGCTATAGACATTAAATTATTCTATTGATTTTTTTTAAATTTGTTTTATTAATCTTTGCAAATAGAGGAAATATTAGAACAAAACATTTAAAATTTTGTTCAATATTAATCAAACCTTTATTATTATGACTTCAGGGGGCCTTATCATGGTAGATCAAACACGTACCACTTAACTTTCGGGCCCCTGAATAGTACAAACACGTGGTTGCCTTAAAATACTATTTTTGAAGGCAGCGGGATCTCGAACCTCGTTATTTATACACCTGAGCACAAATCTCCGACTAGCCTACTCATGTTGGTTCCCTGCTCGTCTATACAATGAGCCAAACCCAATGTACACTGTTTCAAACCATTCGTAATATTTGTCTTTAATGACCTTTATTGTCCATACACTGGCGAAAAACTACACTCTTTTGTGAAAATGGACAGATTTCCCTTTCTCCAACCGGCTTTAGCAGCCTTAACAGAAAAAACTCTCTGGTATTTAAATTTTTGTAGACGACTAATTATAATCAATGTAGCAGAAGTCTTGCTAATGGCGGTAAATTGCCTAATTCCCCTTGTCCCAGGGTCATATGACAAGCGCGCACTCTAGTGATAAAGATGCAACACTGTACTCGCATGGTAAAGCGGTGTCGCTAAATAAGGAATTTACTTTTACACTTTTACGTACCGTGACGTATTGCGTGGATACTATATAGGCGTTTCTTGTTTGGCAGTAGGTTGTTATTACGTTATGCGCATTCTTCTGGCGGTGCAGTTTAATCGATGTTTGTGCGTTAAGGCTTGTCACAACCACAGAGTGAAATTGAGAAAATATTTGTCCGACCAGTTTTTGCATAAACTAATATAATACTGATAAACTCGAAACTACAAACAACAACAGTAATTTTGACTTGTTATTTCATCGAGTAAGTATTATATACTATTAGTATTATTTAATACCAATGGCAATACTATTACTATTTGTACTAGTAATACTAATAGTACTCTTAGTATTACTAATAATAATATTTCCAATACTACCGATTTTTATTAATACTACTACTAGTACCACTGAAGTAATTTTAGAACTTACAGTTGTTCCACTAGTTATACTAGTACTAGGTTAGTAAAGTTAAGTCCGTAACTGTTACTGTTAGGTAGAACTTAGAACTCTTTATATCGGCTACTGTTTTCTAAAGCCCATGCAGTGAAATATATTTCACAAGTTTTTGTATGGTTTGGAATTTAGACTGAAACTTTCTTGGAACTTTGATGTTGAGACTATTTATTAATAAAGTAAAACTATTACTAGTTCATCTCTCAGGTTTTGACACGGTTTTACTTTTAGTTTTAACTTATGTTGGTTTTAAACTTTTATATCGACTATATGATCATGTAGTACACTTTATAAGTTACAACTATGAGAAGTCTAAGATTTAGACCATGATGTACGTGGATCTATCTCTCAGTCTTATGAGTAACGTCAAAATGACTGTTTGAAAATTAACGACTGCTGACTTTGCACAACTCGTTTGAAGTACTCTTTCATGGTATTGGCAGATTAAGAATGTAATCATAATGTTAAATATTTTAATATATATATTGTAATGAATTTTTTTATCTCTTCCTAAGAAGAAAAGTTTATACCAAGAAGCTTAAAAGAAATAGTATTTATTTAAACTATCATAAATGAAACTGAATATACTAACAATTCAGACCCAGTTTTTAAACCAATACACCTAAATTTCAAAAAACATCTAATTCAATAATATAACCTTGACACAAGAAGTTAAGGATAAAATAACCAGAAAAATACAAAATCAAGCTTTGTAAATTAATCACAAAAAATCTATTTTATAGTATCACATCCTTAAAGTTTATTCTACCGTAATTTGTCATAGTGACATTCATACTCAATTTTTTTTCTAAAAGTACTAAAAATTTGACACTATGCTATTCAGACATCTTGCATGTAATTAATACATAATTATACATAAAACCTAGTGACACTGATTAAGCATATCATACATTTTCATATAGTTGAATAGATGGTCAAATAATTGTTGTTACAAACATAGTTTTATTAGATCATGAAGTAGGTATTTTTGTGTGTTGGATTAATTGTTAGAAAAAAACCTGAAATATTGACAGCAAGGAACCAGTTGGTTCTTCAAGATTGCCCTTGCACATCTGCTCTATAGAAAAGCAAAAAAATTAAACCCACCCTTTAATGTTTAGAAAATCATTGATTCTCCTCTTAAACTGTAAAGTGTTGCCTTCCACCATGGCTTATGGCAACTCATTCCACAAGTCATCCAGCATGTTAAAAAAAAACAAACTATTAATGGATGCTAGCTTGTTTCTTTCCAAATCTTAAACTTGTGTCCTTTCATCCTGTTGTTTTCAAAAATTAACTCAGACATAGAAGGTCTTTATCCTATTGATCCTCAGGTGATTCTGCAATAATAAGACAAGATTATCTCTTGAGAAAGAAGAGTAAGTTAAGAGCAATTGGAGCTATTAGAATTGTCATATTGTTTGGTTATTTTATTAACATCTATAATCTTGAAAAATAAATATGAAGCTCAATCTCTTGTTGGTTTTGCCACTTGTCCCTGAGTTATACTGGTTTAAGGGAATTCCATCGGTCATCAGTAATCCTGGACAAGGACAAATTGAAAAAAGACTGGGTTTCTGTTAGTTGTGGACAGAATGTGTATGTTGTTTTATATATTTTACTACCAAATTATGTATAAATATAGGTTCATTGTGGTGAGTCAAAGAACTCAAAACACCATACATATAATTTATAAACATTTGTTGAAAAATGATGAAAATGCACTCAGATTCAGTATGATTTATAAACCTTTTAAATTATTTTCCAATTCCTTACACCAAATGGTTATCAACAGAATTCTTATGGGATTTGCAGAGTATTCACATATTTCATTTGAGTAGGAACTTAATGTTTAACTGGGCAGTTACAAAAATTCAAACTGTAACAGCTTGTTAATTGTGTGCTGTACATAAGAGGTTTACAATGAATTAAATTATTTTGTTACTCTTGACTTGATCTTTGAATGAACAGTATTTAAACCCCAGCTTAACTTACCAAACCTGAATGACACATAGTGTTTCATTACTAGTTTGTAGAAGAACAGTAATTTTTTTTACTTTAATCACCAAGACATGATATATTTAAGAACTTTGGCATGTATATTTTATAAGACCCTTTCAATTATTCTATATAACTTGCAATTGAAATACAAATGAAGCACACTATTCTGATATAAAGATTAACATTATTAATCAAACATTTTCCTTTGTGGTTTACAATAAAACATAGGATTTTGATTTTAAAGTTAAAAATTTCACATTTCCAAACACAAATATTCCAAAGAAAATATGCTATAATGTTACTTTTCAAAACTCATTAAATATGCTAAAATTTGTTGTAATTTGGAAGATTTTTACTGAAAGAGCTTGTGCATTAATACATAAATATTCGAATAGAGGTTTTTCTTTTAATAAAATTGCATGCATAATTTTGTAGTAAATACAATTGATTTTAAATTAATATGTATAACATTGGCAAATTTGGATAACATCAATGAACTAATTTTTTCTTGAGAAAAGAAGGTTTAGAGATGATCTTATTCAAGTTTAGAGGATTATCCATGGAGAAGATATCGATAGGATAAAATATTCTGACTTCTTTTTTCTTAAGACAATAGGGCAGAAAACAAGTTTAATGTTTGGGAGAGGCTTTGAGAGTGTAATTAGCTTATGGAATGAGGTGCTGGGTGTATTTGAGTCAAGCAGCTTACAAGAGTTTCAGATGGGAATAGATCATTTCATGAAAAAAAAAAAGGTGATTTAAATTTTTGCATTTGTAAGCTCCTTTGCTGTTGTTACATTTAAATATTTGAACTTTTTTTTTTTTTTTTTTTTGTCTTTTGAATGCACAAAAAGAAAAAGTAATTTGGGGTTTTGACAATTTGACTTGCAGTGCTT